ATTCTTGCTCTCAGTTGATGACCCTAGCACCCACACAATCAGATGAGAACTTGCTCAGGCCACCATACCATGCCCCGGTTCTCCATCTCTCCAGTGATTCTCCTTACTCCGGGGTAAGCCTGCAATCCCTTCCAAGGCCGCACAGGCGAAGGGTTCACCACACCACGTCTCGGTTCTCCACTTCTCCAGGGACTCTCCTTACTCCGAGGTAAGAGAAATGCTGCTGACCCACACAGGAGGTGGGCTGTCCCCTCCACCTTAGCAGACACCGCTGGTTGGAGAGGCCCACTAAGTTGGGTGTACAAAAGCAAAGGTTTCCCACAAGAGAAAAGACACGTCGGGATGCAGCAGATACTCTGAGGACAACGAAAAGCATCAGGTCACACACGCCACACAGAAGACTGCTCGACAGCCACCTGGAGCTAGGCGACGGCAAAGCCATTCCTTACGTTTTGAAGGAGAATCTTTTTTTTAATCAACCAGGTGTCAGACGTAGCAGAAAAATATTTTCAGCAAGACAAGCATCTCAAAAATGTCACCTAACTAAGCACTCTTGAAAGTCAACACAGCATGTGTTTTACTAAAACAAAGGAGTAAACCAAGGAGGGAAACATGAAGTCAGAGACCACAGGCCCAGCAGAGGAGAAAGGCGGAGAATTCTCACAGCCAGGATGAAGCCCCACGCCACCGCCGCACAGTGCACGTGCGGGCAGGGTGGGCTCGAGCTCAGGAGGCCTTCTCCCACAATCAGTTCCCCTGATGCACTGGAAGACAGCTGGATGGCTTGTAGCGAAAAAAAGAGACAAATGGGAAAGAAAAACACAAAAACTTTTAGCTCCAAGAAATAGAATCACAGCGCACTACACAGTTCAGCTGTGAGCATATTCCCCAAGCTCTCGCCATGCAGTCAAGGGAGGCTGAGGACCCTGGAGGACCTGAGGACGGAGGAGGACCTGAGGACCCTGGAGGACTGGAGGACGGAGGAGGACCTGAGGACCCTGGAGGACCGGAGGACCTGAGGACCCTGGAGGACTTGAGGATGGAGGAGGACCAGAGGATCCTGGAGTACCTGAGGACCCTGGAGGACCTGAGGACGGAGGAGGACCTGAGGACCCCGGAAGACCTGAGGACAGAGGGGGAGGCTGAGGACCCTGGAGGACCTGAGGATCCTGGAGGACCGGAGGACCCTGGAGGACCTGAGGACCCTGGAGGACCTGAGGACCCTGGAGGACCTGATGGAGGACCTGAGGACCCTGGAGGACCTGAGGACCCTGGAGGACCGAAGGACCTGAGGACCCTGGAGGACCTGAGGATGGAGGAGGACCTGAGGACGGAGAAGGACCGGAGGACCTGAGGACCCTGGAGGACCTGAGGACCGAGGAGGACCTGAGGACCCTGGAGGACCCGAGGACCCTCGAGCACGGCTTCCCTTCCACAACAGCAAGCCAACACGGAACACAGGAACTCGGGACAACACACTAAGACAACGCATTCATGACCGGAAATCAGTGCTGCGGCCACCTGGGGAGCGACCCAGCAGGTGGAAGACCTACCTCTGTTTCTCTGTAGATTTGTGTTTCAAACAAACATTTCAAAAAATAAATTTCTCTTTAAAAAAACAGAAGATATGAAAGGAGTCAGGGGCCTGGCATTTTCAGTACAAGCCTTCTGGCACTATTTTCATTTTCCCTGCACAGCTGTATTATTTAAGGCCAAATATTAGGTTAAAATCCCAATGTTCTCACTTATTCCACAAAAATATAAGCATCGTCTATGTGCCAGGTGCTTTGCAAGTTGCTACAAAAACAGGAAACAGAACTGAGTCCTTGATTTCAAGAAGCTTATATCTAGAGAGGCAGATAAAGTATGCTACAGCGTCGGATCAATCAGTGCTGGGGGAGGGGAGATAACACCGGGACGGGGCACCGGGCGTGCCGCAGGTGCCAGCTGCGGAGGACTTTCAGAAAAGGTCTCCTGGGAGCAGCGTGCTGCCACAGGAGGAGGAGTAGCTGCTGAGATGTCAGCACCCTCGGGGAGCTCCTACCCCCCCCCCCACTTCCGAGTGAGTTCCCTGCTGAACCACAAGGCAAGGCTGCCCGAGATGCTCTAAGTGCCTGCCCTGCACCCACGTGGCAGACCCGGAAGCCCCTGGTTCCTGGCCTCTGCAGCCAGCTGGGGAGTGACCCAGCTGACAGCAGACGTCACTCCCACCTTCTCTCTGTAACTCTGCCGAAATAACAACAATGAAAGAAAGAAAAGGTTTCCTGAAGAAAATCTGTTCTGAGAGCCCCAGGTGAGTAAGGTAAGGCAGGGAATGAATTAAGCTCCAGGCAAGAGCTTCTTCTCAAGCCTGGCACCCTGCAAGTGTATCATTCAAGAGCCATTACCCAAAGTTCTCTTCAGGGCAAACAAAAATTGCCAAGTCTCTTCAACTTAAATCCTGTCAACACTGCCATATCCCTGAATATATACTGACACACCCTTCCTGTGGCTCTATCTCGCTATTGAGAGTTAACAGAACTGACCACAGGGACCTGCAAACTTGTTAGGCACACATGTTCAACAGTAATGCTTTACTCCCACTATGCAGGTACATGTTTCCCTAAGTCAAAAGCTCAGGAAATTATTCAAGAATCATCCCCAATTCATTCCAAGCTACTACAATTTATCATAGAGCACATCCAATCTTATACTTTAACACTAAAAAAGAACCAAGGGGAATCTAAAATACATTTAAATCAATGACTTATAGGTTGACAGAGTACATTCGTTTTCCTCTCCGAGGAACTTCACTCAAGCTGAGGCAGTTCTAACTTATTTATCACCTAGAAACTTAAAAAAGAAATGCAGTATTCAGGTTGAAGGGATAATTCGATTCCAAATGTAACTGTTACACAGTGAAAACCTCACATTTAAAAAAAAAAAACCAGAACTCATACCGACACATCTCATAACATCTTATACCCCAAAACTTCCCCTGCAAATTAACACCTAAGTACTCACATCTATTTTATGTAGCCAAATATGCCGCTCTGTTGTGCAAAATAAAAACAGGTCCAGAGTTCTCACAAAAAGGGAACACTTCTGATTAATTTTAATAGTCTTACTTAAGGTTGCGAACTGCTGGCAGTTCTCCGAGAGGGCAGCCCAGGAGGCCCGTGGGCGCTCAGCTGCAGCCCCAGGCTGCTCTCCCTGCGGCCCCTGCACTCCCAACACAGGACCACGCTCCGCCGTACATTTCAAAGGACGTTTATTTTGGTGCAAAAAAGTTTTAAATCCATGCACTGGCTTTTTTCTTAATATACATTCTTCGTTAACTTTTTGAAATACCTTTGTACATATTAGATATCCATCTTTTGCCAAATACGATGTGTTAAGTATTTTCTCCCATTCTGTGAGCTATCGTCACATCTAATTTTTCAAAAAATTTTTAAAGATTTCTCTATTTATTTGAAAGTCAGATATACACAGAGAAGGAGAGACAGAAAGGATGATCTTCCATCCGCTGGTTCACTTCCCAAACGGCCGCAATGCCCAGAGCTGAACTGATTCGAAGCCAAGAACCTTCCCCGGGGTCTCCCAAGCGGGTGCAGGGTCCCAAGGCTTTGGGCCGTGCTCACTGCCTTCCCGGGCCACAAGCAGGGAGCTGGATGGGAAGTGGAGCCGCCGGGAAATGAACTGGCTCGTAGACACAATTCTAAGAATTCCTATCTTCCCGCTCTCCCTCCCTATCAGTTCCTAACAAGAGCTACCCCAGGCTTTGGGCTCAGGCTTGCCTAACAGTATTTGCTGAAATTACCATCGCCAAACCTTAGTGTTTCTATCTGCAACCGGAGAGCATAATGCTCACAGAGGGTCAGTATTAATTACCAAACTCCGCCAGGAAGAACCAATAAAAGACATACGTATCAATACTACAGCAAAAGCTCTCCTTGGGAATCTGGAAAGAACCATGCTAATGCCTGTGGCACTTGAATCACAGCTGAGAATGGTACTTCTCATGCCACAGGAGAGGCCACCAGGTCACTCCCAGCCCGCCAAACCAGGTGAAAATAAAAACAGTTCCAAAACTTTAATAATAATAATAATAAAGACTCTTATACATAAATTCCAGGAGAGTATTTTTAGCAAATATTTAACTGTATAAACCAAAAGAAGCTGTTTAACCACAAGTTAAACTACGCATCAAGCGACATCAGGTAGAATATTTATCTTTGGTATACTTAGAAACCAGATAGCCATGTGTATATAAACATGAGCATATGTTTTGAAACTGTCTTCATGCTTTTGTTCACTAAGCAGTAATTTCCACTATTCTTAGAAGAAAAAAAAAAAAAAAGTAAGCATGAAGTCGGGGAGAGGGAGTGCCAATTACGCGTTGCCTGAGGCTGGGATCCCAGATGGGCACCAGTTTGTGTCCCGGCTGCTCTGCTTCCAATCCTACTCCCTGCAAGTGTGCCTGGGAAAGCAGCTGAAGACGGTCCAGGCGTTTAGGCCCTGCACTCACCTGGGAGACTCGGAGTTCTGGCTCCCACCTGCCATTCATTGGCCACTGGGACCACTCAAGGAATGAATCAACCAAAGGAAGATCCTTATCTACCTCATTTTCTCTGTAACTTTCAAGTAAGTAAACAAATCTTTAAAAAAAAAAAAAAAAGAAAAAGAAAAAATGTAACCGTTAGAGTTTGTACTGCTTTAACTTTTCATCTCTGTATCTGCCCATTTGTCACTTAAGAGCTGTCTTTTTCTCTGCCCTATCCCCAATCAGGAAAGGACCGACCAGCATGAAGTAGATGCTCAACACGTACCTACAAAATGAGCAGGCGAGCCGGGCGTCTGGACCAAAGCCTAAATGCCTTCTGTTGCAACACAACGATTTCATCTCTAAAAGCATTACTCACTACACACAAACTATCTCAAATGCAATGACATAAACTGAAAAACATAATGCCCTAAGTATTTAAGAAAACACACAAACACTCCGTGTGTATCTGACTCACACAGCCAATTCTGCAGTTGTATTTTGTTTTCAGAAAATTCGGTGTATTCTTTCTGACAGGACAGATAAATTCCAAAAAGGCGCTTTTCAAATCTGCTGGTACAGGCTACAGTTTTCCACTTCTATTGCTATCTGGAATAATCAGGCAAAGTGAATCACAACTCCTCAGGCCCATCCAGGTCCTCAAAGCAACGAAAGGCGCCAAGTTGACGGCGGGAGCAAGGCAGACGGACCACCTCCAAATCAGGTGAAGTCCGCAAAGAGACAATGAGCGAGACTTCAAGTCAATTAATCCTGCTCAAATTGTCCCCTCAAAATGGCACTTAACGTCTTTCCAGTCGCTCATCACATCTGGTGACCAAGACATGCCTGCCATCGCACATCTTCGACGCTACAAGATAGACGCCTTCCCTAATGAGAGGTTCATTGATGTATTAAAATGTTACTGTTTGGATCCAATTTGTTACTTCCTCCTGATTCTGAAGGCTGGAGTAACAAATTCCGCAGTAACGGCCGCACGCTGCGTTAGGCTGCCCCAGCCCAGCCAGCCTAGCCATCCGGGAGAAACAGGCTTTCGGGGTTACCACAATCCTATGCAGGCGTGTCTAGAAAACAAAAGTTTCCCAAAAAGAGGCCTGAGCCGGGAGTGGAGCTGACGGTGAGCAGCGGGGCGGGCCGGGGGGAGCGGAATCCGGGCTGGGTGGACGCCTCCCGGGGGGGGCCCAGCCGCCGGGCGTGCAGGTTATTTCTCGGCATCGCTTTGTCGGCGGACACCCCGGGCTCCGGCGGGCCCTCCTCCTCCAGGGCTAACTACCAACACTGGCCTGGCTTCCTCGCTCCCTCACCCCTCCCAGCGCAAACAAATTACCATTTGCACGAAGGTGCCTCCTATCAGCTCGCAGCTTCTTCCCCAACACGCCCACGGACGCTGCAAGCGGCTGCGTCTACACAACACCAGGCTCGGGAGGCGCGCCCGGGGGGCGGCGGGCCACCACCTCGCTCCGCGCAGCGTGGGGGCTCCCTTCCAGGTGGCCCACCTGGCCGAGCTGTGGCTCGAGCTGCTCCCAAATCACCTCCCGAATCACGGTGCTCGGGGGAGCCCAGCGAACCCGACCCCGCGACGGAATTCCGGATATTTGCACCCGTGCGCTGGCCGGGCTTCGCCAGCGTTTGATCCGAGCCGTGCGGAAGCTCCCTCCCTTTCCACGCCGTCGGCTCGCGGCACCAGGCCGGCTCCGGCTGCGGGGCGCCCCGCACGCACGCCCGGCCCGGGGCTCGGCAACAGGTCCACGGCACCCGAGGGTCCGCGGGCGGCCGGGCTCCGAGGGCGCCGGGGCGGGGGGTGTGGCCGGCGCGGCGCTCCCCGCCTCGGGCTCACCTGGAGCCGGCCGGAGGCCAAGGGGCTTCCGCAGCCGGCGGGCTCGGGGGTCGCCCGAGAGGAGACCCCGCCGCCGCCCGCACACACGCACACACACACACACGCACACGCACGGCCGGCTCCCGCAGCGGCTGCCCCCGCGCCAGCTCCCCGGCGCCCTCCTTCCCCCGCAGCCCCCTCTCGGCACCGAGGCCGAGCAGCCCCGGGCCCGCGCCCCCGCCACACACCGCAACGCCCCGGCCGCCGCCGCCGCCGCCATTCCCCGCGCCGCCGCCCCGGGGGGCGCAGCGCACCCACCTCCCCCGCCGCCTCCGCACCGCCGTCGCCTCAGACGCCGGGCAGCCGCCGCCGGCCTCGCGCCCCGCCACAGCCGCCTCAGCCGCCGCCTCAGCCGCCCGGGCCAGCGCTCGCACCGCCGGGCACTCGGCGTCTCTCATTCAGTGCCCGCCGCCGCTCGGGGGAGGGCGGTGCGCCGGAACCGCCCCGTCCGCGCCGCCGCTCGGGGACGAGGAGGAGGAGGGCCGAGCTGCGGGGGCGCGCCGAGCGGGCTGGGCGGAGCCGCGTGCGCGCACCCCGACGAGCGCCGCGGCCCGCGGGGTCTGCCCGGCGCGCTCGCCCGCTGCCGCCCGAGCCCAACGGCCGCCGGGGACCGGTGCCCGCGGCGCGCTGCCCCTGGCCCCGCGCTGCCCCCGGCCCCGCGCTGCTCCCGGCCCCGCGCCCCCTCCGGCCCCGCGTTCCCCCCGGCCCCGCGCTGCCCCCGGCCCCGCGCTGCCCCCGGCCCCGCGCCCCCTCCGGCCCCGCGTTCCCCCCGGCCCCGCGCCCCCCCCGGCCCCGCGCCCCGACCGGCCCCGCGCCCCCTCCGGCCCCGCGCTCCCCCCGGCCCCGCGCCCCGCGCCCCGACCGGCCCCGCGTCCCCCCCGGCCCCACGCGCTCCCGGCCCGCGTTCCCCCGGCCCCGCGCCCCTCCGGCCCGCGCCCCCTCCGGCCCCGCGCCCCTCCGGCCCCGCCCCGACCGCCCGCGCCCCCCGCCCCGCGCCCCGACCGGCCCCGCGCTCCCCCCGGCCCCGCGCCCCGACCGGCCCCGCGTCCCCCCCGGCCCCACGCTGCCCCCGGCCCCGCACTCCACCCGGCCCCGCGCCCGCTGCAGGGGAGGGTCGGGAGCAGAGCGGGGCGGACAGGTGGAGCGCCCGAGACGGCCGGGCCAGGCCTCCCCGCGCGGGGCCCTCCGCTGTGGACTCTGCAGCGGCGGCCGTGGCCTTCGGCGGCGCCTGGCCGGCCACCTTCAAGGCCGGGGAACGCGGGGAGATCCGACAGCCCACACCCGCGGGGTTTCTAAGGAGTCACTGCGGATAAGTGAGGGGGGCTTCAGATGTGAAGGGGTCGCCCCGTCGCCATGGCTAGGGAGGTGTTGTTGCGCGTAGGCCTTTGCGAGTGCTAAGCAGGGTAGGGCCCTTGGCTTGGTAAGCCAGTGATGGATATTTGGCATCACCTGGCCTCAGCGTGATGCGCTCCAAGGTGAACGCTATCTTCACATCTTTGCTCAGACTTAATTCTGCAATGCTAATTATTTCCTGTGAATGGAAAGGGGGCGACTTTTCACATAAAGGGTGCCAGGGTGTTGTTTCCGAGGGTGCACTGTGTGGCGCGACCTGCTTAAAATTAGCACCAGGGACTGCCGTGTGACTTTTCCGAAGGAGCACCTCTAAGCGGCTGTCGGACCCTTTCGGAGCATGGTTATGACACAGTCTACCAGTCTGTCTCTAGGCCGTGGAAGGAGTGACTGCCAACATGAGTAAAACACGCGAAGGGGCCAGATCTGTTCCCATTTCGTTTCTGCCCTCCATTTGATAACCACTCAACAACGGAGTCATTTTCCACATGGAAGAAAGCTAATTATGTTATCTTTGGTCTTGTCATAACACTATGGAGGGCAGCAGAGTTAAAGCATCCCCATGCAAATGTAAGTTAAAAGCAAAAACAAAGATAGGCAACCAAGTACCTAGTGTTTCAAAGTCTGGAATTACAGAATCACTGGGAGTGGGGAAGCTGAGAGCATTCCGAAGCATAGACTTAAGAACCCGGTTATTAGTTAAAACGGGGAAGCAGGTTGGGTAGACAGGAAGTGCTCCCACGGAAGTCAATTGCTTCAAGTCTCAAGGAAACAATGGGCAAGCAGAATTAGCAACTGAGGTGGGGGGGGACCCGTCTAATTACTGAGTTGAGAAAGTGTTTCGTCTTTAAATATTAGCAAGAGATCAAGGAAAAGAGGGTTGGCTGTGAGCCAACAACAATACATAAAACAATTTTATACGTATGAGTACTTCCAAAAGTTAATGGTTGATAGCAACGCTGTTCACGGGATCCAGAGTATGGAATCAACCATCGGCACATGGATAGTTGGAGAAAATTTATATTCAGTAGTATTCAGCTATTATAAAATGTGAAGTTCTGGGGCTTTTCTGATGTCACAGCTGGTTACTCCTCCACCCCGTGGCATTGGTTTCCTTACGGCTGCTGGTTCACATCCCAGCTGCTCCACTTCCAATCCAGCTCCCCCTGCTTAGGGCCCAGAAAGACAACAGAGGGCTGCCCAAGTCCTTGAGACCCAAATGGGAAAGCCAGAAGAAGCTCCAGGCCCTGCCTGGGAACAGCTCAGCTCTGACCATTGTGGCCATTTGAGAGTGAACCAGCTGATGGAAGACCTCTCTCTCCTTCTGTCTGTGTAAAATCTGCCTTTCCAATAAAAATGAATCAATGTTTAAAAAAAAAAATGAAACCCTGTCATTTTGCAGCAAAAAATAATTGGAACTGGAGGGCAAAGTTGAGTGAAATAAGCCACAGAGATAGCAACAATCATATGTTCTCTCTTATATGTGGGAACTATAAAGAAAAAAAAAATGTCCATAGAAAAATGGAATTTAAATAAGGCTAGGGGCCGGTGTTGTGACATTCCAGGTTAAGTCATTGCTGGCATCCGTATGGGTGCCACTTTGAGGCCAGGCTGTTCACTTCTGATCCAGCCCCCACTAACGCACCAGGAAAGCAGTGGGTGATGGCCCAAGTCCTTGAGCCCCCACATCCATGTGGGAGACTCCTGGCCCATGCCCAGCACTTGCAGCCATTTGAAGAGTTAACCAGCAGATGAAAGATAGCTTTATCTCTGCTTTCAAGTAAACAAATATAAATCTTTTTTTAAAGAAAATAAATAAATATAAATAAATAAAACTTTTTAGAAAGTAAATAAACATAAATCTTTTTAAAGATTTTTTTTTTTTTTATTGGAAAGGCAGATACACAGAGAGGAGGAGAGATAGAAAGATCATCCGTCTAATGATTCACTCCCCAGGTGACTGCAACCACCAGAGCTGTGCTGATCTGAAGCCAGGAGCCAGGAGCCTCCTTCTGGTCTCTCAAGAGGATTCAGGGTCGCAAGGCCTTGGGCCGTCCTTGACTGCTTTCCCAGGCCACAAGCAGGGAGCTGGATGGGAAGTGGAGCTGCCGGGATCAGAACCGGCACCCATATGGGATCCCGGGGCGCATTCAAGGCGAGGACTTCAGCCGCCATGCACTCCCCCACACCACCACCAAATTTTATTTTGTATGAAGCAATTTGGAAATTCATGCCTAGTCTTCTCCATATTTTGTGTTTTCCGGAATCTTTTTGTAAAGTTAGATTTCTGGTTCATTTCAGAAATGCGTGCAGCAGTGGAGTCAGGAACCCGGAGTACAGTCTGTGTCTCCCTCTGACCCCACACCTGCAGCCTGCACGGGGGCAACTCTGACAACGGATACTGACGCCCCAGCTGGCATCCCAACTGCTATGCCGCATGCTGGCTCCCGTCAAACACATTTTTAAGTACTCTTGCATATATACACCATTATCACACATATTTAAATTCTTTTAAGAAAAAAAAAACTGGGAAAACAACAGGGAGTTTTATTCTAGGTAAATGTCTTACAACCACTTTCAAATCTAAATTAGAATTTCATAAAAAAATAAGTGAGTGCGTATCCCTACATTTGCCAATCATTTTCACAGTTTAAAAGCAGTGAGATTTTTCATTTAGACTTTTTTTTTTTTCTAAAGATGTATTTATTTGTTTTAAAGGGGGAGAAATGAGATTCCCCTATCTGCTGGGTCATTCACCAAATGGCTAAAGTGTTGAAGGCTGGGCCAGGCCAGGGCCAATGGCTAGGCACGCCATCTTGGGCTCCTGTCAGGGAGGCTGGGCCCACGCTCCTGGGACAGATGCTGCTTTCCTAGAGACGCTAGCAAGGAATGAGCAGTGGAGCAGCCAGGACTCGAACCGGCATCCATTGGCATCTTGGTGTCACAGGTACCGGCTTTACATGTTTGGCCATGATGCCATGTGATTCAGGAATGAGGCCTTAAATACACTAAATCTTTTGCCTAGTCAGTGTCTAAATTGGAACTAAACACCCAAATGTGTTTCTCACCTTGGTTATCAAACCAGTAGAATAATACTTCATTTACCTTGAGAGGTGTGTTGAAGTCCTGAGCTTGGTATGGGGGGGAATGTTCATCGAATTGTTTCTATAAAGTCCGTGTCCCTTGGGTCGCTGTGTAAGTCAAGGCAGGAAGATTCTTGTTTTTGCCTTTTTACATGAAAAGAGAGCCAGTGCCAAGGTGCCTGTACCAGAGCTCTTCTCTCAGTTACATCCTGTAAGTTACTGCGAGTTCTCTCTGCTTTTGCCAAAAGACAAGGGATATGTAGTCTTAGAACAACAAAAAGTGCTAACGTATAAAATAGTAATGCCATCATAGAAAAGTGAAATCAATAAGAATTCAATATGCCCAGAGGTCATTCCAGAGGAATCACCA